GAAAAGGCGGGCCGCCAGCAGCCTCCCTGGCTGATCACAGGCCAAGAGAAGAAAGGGAGGCTTGCCCGAGCCTCCCAGGCCAATTGCAGGCCCTAAGAGGAACGAATGGCCCACCTGCAGGAAGTTCTAGCCAGAGCAATACAGCAAAAGAAATAAATAAAAGTCATCCAATTAGGGAAGGAAGAAGTAAAACTGTCACTTTTTGCAGATGACATGATTCTGTATATAGAAAACCATAAAGACGCCATAAAAAAACACACAAACCTATTAGAAACAATAAACCAACACAGTCAAGTGGCAGGATACAAAATTAATGTGCAAAAAATCATTGTTTTTCCTGTATACTAACAACAAAACTTCAGAAAAGAAATGAAAGAAAATTACTTTTGCAATTATAACCAAAAGAATAAAATACCTAGGAATAAACAACAAACATGAAAGACCTATATACTGAAAATTACAAAGCATTATTAAAAGATATTGAGAAAGACACAACAAAATGGGAAAATATCCTGTGTTCATGGATTGTAGGAATCAACATAGTTAAAATGGCCATATTACCCAAAGCAATATACAGATTTAATGCAATCGCCATCAAAATCCCAATGTCATTTATTAAAGAAATAGAATGAGAAATCATCAGATTTGTATGGAACCACAAAAGACCCTGAATAGCTAAAGCAATTCCAAAAAAAAAGAATGAAGCTGAAGGTATCACATTACCTGACTTCAAATTATACTACAGAGCTACAATAATGAAAACAGCATGGTATTGGCAGAGAAACAGACACACAGATCAATGGAACAGAATAGAGAGTCCAGCTATAAAACTATATATATATATATATGTATATGTATATGACAGATAATTTTCAAAAGATGCCAAAAACACACAATGGCTTAAAGATAGTCTCTTCAATAAAGGGTACTGGGAAAACTGGAAAGTCAGATGTAAAATAATGAAACTGGATTACAGTTTGTACCCTTGCACAAAAATTAATTCAAAATGGATCAAAGACCTGAATATAGGGCCAAAACAATAAGTTACAAATAGAAAATATAGGTACCAAACTTATGGACCTTGGTTGTAGAGAACATTTTATGAGCTTGACCCCAAAGGCAAGGGAAGTAAAGGCAAAAATAAATGAATGGGACTATCTATAATAATAAAAGTGTAATATGCTAATTAGACTGGACATCCTTCCAGATGACCTTCCGGATGAAGCTGGGGGTGGGAGGGAAGCCCGAGTCCCGGGTGCCAGAGGGAAGTTGGTGCCGGCAGCCAGAGGAAGGACGGCCTACTCTTGCACGAATTTCGAGCATGGGGCCTCTAGTATCAAACTAAAAAGTTTCTGCACAGCAAAAGAAACTGACAACAAAACAAAGAGGCAGCCAACCAAATGGGATATGATATTTGCAAACAGTAGCTCTGACAAAAGTTTAATTTCCAAAATATATGAAGAACTCATAGCCGAACCGGTTTGGTTCAGTGGATAGAGCATCGGCCTGTGGACTGAAGGGTCCCAGGTTGGATTCCGGTCAAGGGCATGTACCTTGGTTGCGGGCACATCCCTACTGGGGGGCGTGCAGGAGGCTGCTGATTGATCTCTCTCATTGATGTTTCTAACTGTCTATCCCTCTCCCTTCTTCTCTGTAAAAATTCAATAAAATATATTAAAAAAAAAAAAAGAACTCATACAACTCACCAAACAAACAACCCAATCAAAAAGTGGGCTGATGTCCTAAAAATACAACTTTCCCAAGAAGACATACAAACAGCCAATAGATATATGAAAAGATGTTCAACCTAACTGGCAATTAGGGAAATTTAAATAAAAACTACAATGAAATAACACCTCACACCTGTCAGAGTGGCCATTATCAACAAGACAGGCAATACAAGTGGTGGAGAGGTTGTGGGAAAAAGGGAATGCTCATTCACTGCTGGTAAAGATGTAGATGGTACAACCACTATGGAAAGCAGTCTGGTGATTCCTCAAAAAATAGAGAATAGAGCTACCATATAACCCAGCAATACCTCTCCTGTGTATATACCAAAAACTCGAAGTCATGTATTTGAAAATATATATGCACCCCTATGTTCATTGCAGCATTATTCATGTAGCCAAGACATAGAAACAAGCAATAGAGGACTGGATAAAGAAGATATGGTACATTCACACAATGGAATACTACTCAGCCATAATAAAGGATGAAATAGTGCCACTTGCAACAACATGGATGGACATTGATAACATGAAATAAGTCAGCCAGAAAAAGCTAAGAACTGCCCTAACCGGTTTGGCTCAGTGGATAGAGTGTTGGCCTGTGGACTGAGGGGTCCTGGGTTCAATTCCGGTCAAGGGCATTTACCTTGGTTGTGGGCATATCCCCAGTGGGGTGTGTGCAGGAAGCAGCTGATCGATGTTTTTCTCTCATCAATGTTTCGGACTCTCTATCCCTCTCTCTTCCTCTCTGTAAAAAATCAATAAAATATATTTTTAAAAAAGCTAAGAACTATATGATTTCACTCACATGTGGGATAGAAAACTGAACACAAACAGCAATGTGGTTATTGCCAGAGTGAATGGGGTCCTAATATAAGGTGACAGGAGAAGATTTGACTGTGGGTGGTGGGCACATGGTGCAATATACAGATCTTGTAACATAGAAACTCACACCTGAAACCTATATGTTCTTGTTGACTAATGTAACCCCAATCATTTAATAAATAAATATTTTACAAAAAGAAAAGAAAAGCTCTCAGATATTAAACCCTTTTAAGAAAAAAAGATGATGCAAAAAGCATGTTTGTGAAACACATTTATGAAATTTCTTTTTTAAAAATATATTTTGTTGATTTTTTTACAGAGAGGAAGGGAGAGAGATAGAGAGAAACATCGATGAGAGAGAAACATTGATCAGTTGCCTCCAGAACACCCCCTACTGGAGATGTGTCTGCAACCAAGGTACATGCCCTTGACCAGAATCGAACCTGGGACCCTTCAGTCTGCAGGCTGACGCTCTATCCACTGAGCCAAACTGCTCAGGATGAATTTTCTTTTTAACAGGACACATTTGACATCTCTGTAAGGGCCTGCTACATAGGTGTTAGGTCTGCAATGTGGGATGGCTGCTACCAGGAAACATGAGTCCCTTAAGAACCAATCAGGTAAAGATAGCATGATATTAATGAACATGGAGTTAGGAATTGGGGAGTCTAAATAACTTTAAGTCTTTTATTAAAAAGTCAGTAGAAAAGGAACTCACAACTTACCACATTTACAAAATGAAATGTAAATTTATAGTTAACTTGTAAAGAATCATATATATATATGAACTATATGACCCCATTCACTCTGGCAATCACCACATTGCTGTTTGTGTTCAGTTTTCTACCCCACATGTGAGTGAAATCATATAGTTCTTACATGTATATACTATATATATATATATATACACACACACACACATATGATGGTACTAACAAAATTATAATTGTTATTTATAATCATTTGCATCATCATCATCATCATCATCTCTTTGGCTTTTCTTCCTGACCAGGCTACATTGAAAACAAACTTCCTTTAAAACTAAATTGTTAGAGGAGAGGGGGAACATTTAGAAGCTGTCCATAGGAAGCATGCACTACTCTTGGGCTTTGATTCTGGCTCTCTGGAACTTTACAGATTGTTTTTTAGGACTGCTCAAACCCAGCAGGCAAGGTTGTTCCCCTAAGTGCAAGACATTAGCTCTAAACAAAGTACATTTAAAAACCTGTGTAGTTTGCCATGGAATAAAAAGGTTCATTTGGGTTCTTGTTCCTTTGTACAAGTCACACCTCTGGAAACTAAGGCAAATGAATCATGCTTTAATTTGTTCACAGACCACAGCCCTCAATACCCTCTACATTCAGACACTGATTTATCCGAGTCATTGGGTATCCATTTCCTGCATAAAGCTGGGGTGGAGAAGTGATATTTGAGAAGCTGGTAGGAGGCTGTACAGCAGTCTCTTTCTCCTTGCTTTCCTAGGTGGTCTTCTTTTTCATACAGAGTTGCCTGGCTTCATATCTACAGAATGGTCAATTCTCAAGGGACCAGTCCCATGTTGATTGTAATTCAGTAGCTCCATCCACTGAGAGATCAAGAAGTGGCAGGTGTTTGGAGACAGCCAGGCAAAATGTAAGAGCTGCTTTGGCAGCCTCACTTTCCCTCAGTCTTTTCCCCAACTATTGGTTCTCCCCTCTCTGCCCACATAAGTGTCTCAAAATAAAATCACATTACTGTGAACAAAACCCTCTCACACAATGTCTGTGCACTCCTCTAAAGTACATGAGGTGCCCAGTACAATTGCCTTTCTGCAGATGAGATGTTCAAGTTTGGCAAGGTAAAGCCTCGGATCCTGGACAAGACCTTGAGCATGACTCCAACTGTTGGTGACTTCCATACACTTCAAGAAGGCTGAGGCTGTCAGATTCCCCCATTCTTGTCCTAGCAGCGCCGTTCCATATGCTCTGTACTAAGCCCCAAATCACAATTTCCTAATGCCTCCCCTGCCCCCAAATCTTTTCATTTTTATCTTGTTGATTAAAGTTTGGCAAACCCCTCTGCCTTCAGATTTATAGTGTAGGTTATTATAATAATTTTCCAATTCAAAGTAGATGAAATTTCACTTTTAGTTAATTTACTTGGTTCCACACAACCATAGCTCTGATGTGAAGTCACACCATATATTTAATTTCGACTATCTTTTCTAGAGGAGTTTGAATCATCTCGTGTCACATCGGGGAAGACCCTCAAACGCCCAGGCTTCCTCCTCTGGGTGTTCACTGCCTCTCCTGGAAAAATTCATCCTGTAATGTGACTTGGCCTTCTTGTGCAGGCTACTTGGTGGAAGCGTAAACCTTGGCCGTTCCTGACTCCAGGCACACGGGGGCGCAAGACCGCAGCAGCTGCCGAGAAGGCGGCGAGGCGACGCTCTTGCCTTGACGACGCAGACGTGACCACATCCTGAGAGCCAACCTTTCGTTCTGGAAAGTGAGGGTCTCACGTGGCTGGCGTAGGGCCGCTGCCTAGGAAACGCTGTGCAACAGCTCCCAGAGCAGCCATAGAGCCCCGCGGGGGCCACGCGGCGCGGGAAGGGGCTGCTCCGGGACACAATGCTGTGCACCAGAAGGCTGGGCGGCCTTACAGCCCGGGCATCGGCTCTGCTGCCAGTGCGCTCGCGCCTGGGAGGCTTCGGAGCCGGGCTCCGGGCCCGACGGGTCAGCACCGGCTGGTCTCCAGTGGGTGCCGCGTTCAATGTCAAGCCCCAGGGCTTGCGCCTGGACCTGTTTGGAGAGCGCCGGGTGAGCGGCGCGGGCCAGGGCTCTCCTTGTTTGCTGGGATAAACTGGCCCTCTTCTCCGCGGGGAGTGGATGGGGACAAATCTTGCGGGGTCCGGGAGGACATGGGCAGAGAACCCACGTTATACAGGAAGTGTTTGCGCGCTTGCTGTTTGAGGGGCTAGGTTAAAGGGGGCGGGGTGGTTTTTAGTGATCCCCTCACCAAAATTTGGGTCCTAGGACCTATCTCTGTGTGAACCCCTTGCTCCACAAAAAGTTAAAATAGTTCATCTTGGAAGTGAATTCCGCCCCTCTGGTGCCATCCTCTCCTCACACTGAGCCCAGCTCCTACTAAATTCACTTTTGCTCCAACCCTACACGTGTGCCCACGAGGCCTGGCCCTGTGAGTTCACATTCGGTGACAAGTATTCCTTTTGCAAGGACACACATGCCTTTAGTTCTGTCATTAGTAATTGCATTGATGCCTGAAATTCCATTAACTTTTTTCAAAGCTTTGGGCTCTCTTGTTTTGTGTGTGTGTGTTTGGTAAAAAAACAAACAATAAAAACTTGTTGAAAAGAAGTTAACTTCATATGGTGCTGTGGAGTTGTTCACATTGATTTCTTCCTTCAGGAAATTACTGATGAATTCTTTGGTTTCTATTAATTTCTATATCCCTGCTGCCCAGCATGGTGTCTGGCTTCAGTAGTCAATAATATTTGTTGAATGGCTGAATTAAAGGTGAATGGAAGGCAGGGTTGAAAGGGACTTACCCGATGCCTGTTCTACTTTACTTTTGTGGATTATATCAGTTTTAGGTTTTACTTTTACCTTTATTATTTCTTTATTATGCCTTTAAGTTTTATACAAAGTGGAGTCTAGAATATTGTTGCAGTAAATTTAATGATGTTTTTATTTTATTTTATCTCCTTAATTGGCTTTGTCCATTTTCAAATTTTTGCATGAAATTTGCCACACTAACTTCCATATAAGTAAAGAAAAATGTTGATATTAACAATTGGTGTGTGGAGAACTACCTATAAGTTCTGAACAGAAAGAAGTGAAGCGTAAGGTTGATTTGAGGTGGATGAAATTTTAGTTTTGTTTTCTTTTGTACATCATGATTTTAAGTACTGAAACCAGATTTTCAAATTTATGAATTAGTTTTTGACTGAAAAAAAAGGTTTGTTTAGGTTTTTTTGTATTACCATAACTTATAGTCTGAGATTTAGAATTCCCAAGGGAAGTATGAAGAGGTGTACACGGAAGTAGAACTAGCCTGTGCTTGACTCAGATAAAATCAGTATAAAGATAAAGTTTATATATGGTTCTGATTCTACTCTGCCTCCAACTATTTTTATTTTCTTCAAGTTCTTAGTATTGTTTGAAGAGAGGTTAAAAGCTTAACTTGCTTTCTTACAGAAACAGTAGGCCTTACCAGGCCTGAAAGTTTTACCTCCTGGTATTTCCCAAAATCATCATGTTAAGCATCTACAAAGTTAATTTACAAAGTTTAGCATGTGCTCCATTAATTGGATTCATTCCAGTTCCCTATGTTTTAGGCACTATGTTGGTCAGCTGGTTAAAATGATGAAGGGCAGGGTTCTGCCTCTAGAGCTCGACTTCGAAGGAGAGAAAACTTTCAAACAGATGAATTGCTATACAGAAGTATGGAGAAAGTGTGGGCTTTAGAGGTGTAGGGAACCCACTCAAGTTCTGATTTTCCCAAAATTAATTAGTGACCTCAATCTTTTTCTTCACTCTTAAGTTTGTCTCCTTATCTGTAAACAGTGAGTGGTAGTTCCTGCTCTAAAATTGTGGTATTTAAGTGAGAGGCTTGTATAAAATACATAGTTCACTGTTTGGCATGAAGTAGATAAAGTAGATGTGTGCTTTCTCTCCCTCTCCCCCTCCCCGCCGGAGTGCTAAAATAAGTGTGGTTGAACTGGTCCAAAAATAAGATTGTTCCCATTAGATTAGTGATTTTTGTCTTTATAAGATATTTAAATGCTTTTGGAAACTGTAAAATTTGCTGCAAGTTTCAGCCTATGACTTGGTTTAACGTGATTATTAAGTCTTTCTGAAATATCTGTGTGGTTGGTTAATCAACTCATTGTCCCTAATTTATAATTGTAGAATAATTTGTGTTTTGTACTGGACCTCACTAGATGCCAAACAGTGTTTAAAGGACTTACATATATTTTCTAGTACCTGTATGCATGCTGTGAGATATGTATTGTCATCCCCATTGTGCTTAAAGAGAAAACTTAGGCCTAGGAGGAGAAAGAAGCTGGCCAAATCACACAGCTAGTAATGACTATAGCTAACATCTATCATATCTTATCTGTATGCCAGGTACGCTTAAAATGTTTCGTTTTTTAACAGGTATTATCTCATTTGACCTTTGTAACTACTTTATTAGTTAGATTCTGTAGTAGTGACATAGCTTGATTTTTATAAATAATTTAAAAATAAAGAAAAATTACACTCTTAAACCATGATAGAATGTGAAAGTGTTCTGTGATCACAGATATTATAATTATATAATAGACCATCAAAACCCAAGATTTTCTTTATGCCAACTAGTATTTATACATACCAAAAAATAATATTTTTGGTAATAAATTGGAAATACTCATTGAATTTCAGGGTCTTTTTGGAGTTCCCGAGCTCAGTGCCCCAGAAGGATTTCGTATCGCACAAGAAAACGCCTTGAGAAAGACAGATTTGCTGGTGGCGCGTGCGTGTTCCACTCCACCTGGACCACAGACTGTGCTCATCTTTGACGAGCTCTCTGATGCCTTGTGCAGGGTGGCTGACTTGGTAAGATTTGGTGTTAAGACTTGTAACCCCCTCTCTAAAATTTAAAGTTTATTAGGTTTAATATTAGACTGCAAGGTTAAAAATGTCTGAACTATTTGAGAGCTGTTATATGTAATTTGTTATAGTGAAGTATGTCATTAAGAATGGGAAAAATGTGTAGGAAATTGTGATATTTAGAACTTGTAATTTAATATGTATATTTAATAAAATATACATGTCATGTAGTAAAAGAATGATCACTCATATGTCAAAGGTTTTTTTGTATGACCAAGATTTTTTTTTTAAATCATTTAAAAATTTTTTCAATTACAGTTGACATAGATATTATATTAATTTCAGGTGTATACCCCAGTGGTTAGCTTAGTGATCATCCTGAAAAATCTCATACCTATCTGACACCATACATAGTTATTAGAATATTATTGACTATATTCTCTATGCTATGCTTTATATCCCCAGGACTACACTATAACTAATTTTTATTTGTACTCCTTAATCCCTTCACCTTCTTCACCCATCCTCCTAATCTCCCTCCCATCTGGCAGCCATCAGAATGTTCTCTCTTTCTATGAGTCTGTTTCTGTTCTGCTTGTTTGTTTATTTTGGATTTTTAGATTCAATTGTTGATTAGATAAATATTGCCATTTTATTGTTCATATTTTTATTCTTTTTTTCTTCTTCTTAAAGAAGACTTTAATATTTCATGTAATACTGGTTTGGTGGTGATGAACTCTTTTAGCATTTTCTTGTCTTTATCTGACCTTTAATTCTAAATGATAGCTTTGCTGGGTAGAGTAATCTTGGTTATAGGTCTTTGGTTTTTATTACTTTGAATATTTCTTGTCACTCCCTCTGGCCTGCAAAGTTTCTTTTGAGAAATCAGCTGACATCTTATGGGTACTTCCTTGCTGCTTTTCCCTTGCTGCCTTTAAGATTCTCTGTTTATCTTTAACCTTTTGCATTTTAATAATGATGTGTGGTGGTGTCTGCCTCTTTGGACTCATCTTGTTTGGGACTCTATGTACTTCCCGGACTTGTATGTCTATTTCTTTCACCAGGTAAGGGAAGCTTTTTGTCATTATTTTTTCAAATAGATTTTCAATTTCTTGTTCTCTCTCTTCTCCTTCCGGCACCCCATGATGCTAATGTTGGTATGCTTGAAGTTGTCCCAGAGGTTCCTTATACTATTTTCATATTTTTGGATTCTTTTTTCTTTTTGCTGTTCTGATTGGGTATTTTTTGCTTCCTCATATTCCAAATTGCTGATTTGATTCTCAGCATCCTCTACTCTACTGTTGATTCCCTGTAAATTATTCTTCATTTCAGTTTGTATATGCTTAATTTCTGACTGGCCCTTTTTTATGTTGTTGATGTGTTCACTAAGTTCCTTGAAGTTCTCACTAAGGACTAAGTCCTTAAAGTTCTCAAAGCTCCTTGAAGTTCTCAGTAAGTTCCTTGAGCCTCCTTATAAACATTGTTTTGAACTCTGTATCTGGTAATTTGCTTGCTTCCATTTCATTTCATTCTTTTTCTGGAGTTTTCTGTTTTTTTCATTTGCGACATGTTTCTTTGTCTTGGCATTTTGGCTGCTTCCCTGTGTTTGGTTCTATGTATTAAGTAGAGCTGCTATGTCCTCTGGACTTGGTAGAGTGCCCAGTGGCTCAGCTTCCCAGTCACTTGAGCTGGGCACTCCAGGTGTACCCCTACGTAGGCTATGTACACTGTCCTGTTGTAGTTGAGCCTTGATTGTTGGAAGGGATTGACATCCAGACCAGTCGGCTGTAGCTACAGTGGAAGAGCTTCTGTGCATGAACTGACCCTATGGAGTAGGACTTGCTTCATTGGGGCTTTGTGTCATTCATGGAGGTGGTAGGGTTGTAATCTGATGTAATCTGAAGCTGACTACCGGGTGCACTGGCTCTGGGGCCTCCTGGGAGGTGCAAAGTCAGCTACTTCGTGTGCCCTGCCTGGGGGCATCCGACACAAGCTACAGTAATCTGCAGATGTTTGCTGTTTGTGTTGGGCTTGAAGGTTCCCAGGAGAGGTCAAGCTGTGAAGCAGTCATATGTAAAAACCATTGGACACAGCTTGGGTGGGCCTGCAAATTGGGTGGAATGAGGTCTCAGGGAATCACCAGGGTTGGGCAAACAGTATGAGCCAGGTTAATGGAGTCTTAGGTATGGTGCCTGCCTGTGGGCTCTGTGTAGCGGGAGAACTCAGCAAAGGAACAATGGCCTCTTCTAGAACTTTTGTTTGGGAGAAAGCTGCCCCACCAGCTGTTGTCCTGATGCCAGACAATTTAGTTCCTCCCCATATGTCCCTGGTTCCTTTCAAGCTGCTGCCCCAGTGCTGGAGTTCAGAGTGAGTGAGTTCAAGTAAGTCTGTGCACAGGCTCTTTTATAGGACTGACTGGGATTCCAGCAGCCTCTATCTTTCTCAGCCAAAAACCCTGCTCGTTTTTACAGCCTGAAGATATGGGGACTTCTCTTCCAGACACTGGATATCTGGGCTGAAGGGTCTGGTGTGGGGCTGGGACCCCTAGTCCTCAGAGGGAACCTCTGCAGCTAAGATATCCCTCCCAATTAAAAACTGCCACACGTGTTTGGGACCAGCCCATTCCATGCCTTCACCCTTCTTACCAGTCTTGATGTGGCTTCTTTAATTCCCTAGTTGTAGGACTTTCACTCAGCCAGATTTTAGGCGGTTCTGAATGATGTTTGTTCTGTAGTTTAGTTGTAATTTTGATGAGGTTGTAGGAGGAGGCAAGTACCACATTTATCTATGTCGCCATCTTCCGTGACCAAGATTCTTTCTTTATGAAAACTACCAAAATTCTAATAAAAATTTATGTTTGTTTACAATAAAATTAATCTTATAAAAACCAGTTTTTATAAACCTTTTAGGGAATGCATTTTGTAATTAAAAGCAAGGTTTTAACATCAAACTGATTATATTAAAAATGCTTGCTTCTTAATATTTTGAAGTTGAAATAGAAGTGTACCTAGGTTTCTTCAAACACAAAACCCATTGCTAAGGCAGAAGGCATGATTTTGTCAGCCCAAGAGAATCACGTCTTGATTAGTCATATCAATGAAGGTGACTATAGTGGTGTACATGATGCAAGATCGTGATCACTCATGCTGCTGTCTCCTTCGTATTGGACTGTATATAGTTCTTTCTTCACATTCATTTAACATTGAGCCCCCACCATGTGCCGTGCCAGGCTCTGTAATAGGCACTAGGAATACAGTCCTGATTAAGACAGACCCAATTTCTGACCTCATGGAGCATTATAGTGTTAACTTGTTTTTAAATCTCACTAAGCACCAGGCTGTGATAACCACTTTACCTGGATTAATAGATTGAACCTTCTCACCATATCTAATTTTCAGATGAGGAAAGAAAGGCACTAAGAGGTTAAATGATGTGTCCAAGGTCAACTAGCCAGTAAGGAGAAGTTGGGCTTTGAGTCCAGGTAGTCTGGTTGCAGAGCTCATGTTCTTACCTGCTGTTCTGTACACTCCTGGGGGCTGGCTGGCTGCTTAGATCTGATGAAACCTTACCCGGAGAGGTTGGAAAGTTGGTTAGCCTTCCCATCATTTAAAAGAGTATTTATTTATTTATTGTAAAAATTATCATATAGTAAAATTGACTTATTGGGGGGAAGGTGGTACAGTTCTATGAATTTAACTCATTTTTCATGTAGCTACCACCACAGAGTATGAAAATATTCTATCACTCCAAAAAAGCTCCCTTTAATAATTACACCACCACCCCCACCTCTTGCCCCTAGGCAACTACCGTCCTACATATTTATATGTGTCTTTTCTAAAATGTCAGGTAATTGGAATCATATATGCCTTTTGAGGTTGACTCCTTTCACCTAATTTAAAGCCTCTTCATTTTTTTTTCTCCTGAAATGTTTTATTTTCCCATACAACTAAATTGAGCAGTAACACCTTTCAGTTCATCACACAATCACAGTAAACGTCCTAGTTCTAAGGAGGTTGATAAAATATTTTGAAGGGTTTTTTTTTTTTTTTTTTTCAGGAGTGAAGTGAGATACGTTGTGGGCCCCTGGTTGTCAGGTCTCAATTTTAATGGATCTTGGTTCTTTCTGATCCTTTAGTAAGTGTATGCTAGTGCTTTGAATGATGTAAATTATATGAGATGTATTGCCAAAAAGGAGGTCTCCCTTCCCTGCTGAATTATATCACTGAAATCTGAAAAACAAAATGTCAGTGATTTTCACTATGTGTAATTGACTATTGGCTTTTTATGTAAAAAAATCCCAGGACTCACTGTTTATTTGTTGTCTTAGCCTCCATCTTAATTAAGCAGTGTTCTAGGACTTTTTCCACCTTTTTGCTTTTGCTCCTTTGTTAAAAGATTTTAACTTCTCTGCCCCATAGCTTGTCCTATTTGTGAAGGTTTTTATATTTATGAACTCTAATATCACATTAAAAACTAATATATGTCTTTGGGGAAAAAAAATTCAAAGAACCTTCTTTCTTTTTGAATTTTTAAGATTTTTACCTGTCAGTAAATTTGATACTGTTATAAGACAATGATTTTAAAAACTGTATTTTCTACCAAGTTGTCATTTTGCTTTACTTTTCTTTTTTAATACCCTTGCTGTGTAACAGAATTGTTTCTCTCATCGCTACTATAAATGAGTATGCTAGTGTTTTAAGTTTTAATATCAATTATAAATTCTGCAACATGTAAATTGACGATTTATACAATATATTGTTAATTTTACATAGCTCAGTTTTCAGGTGCGTTAATACTGTTATTATTTCATCAAAAGTTGTATATAACTATGGATTTAAACGTTTTTTGTTAAAAAGTATTTGATAATAAAATTAGGAAATTTTACTTGTGATCTTGTTTTGTTATATGTCATACATGTCTTCTTGGAGGATAAAGGAAAAATAGTGTAGCATTTTGTTTTTTTCCTGCTTTTTTTTTGCAATGTACTGCAATTAACATGAAAAGTAAAATCTAGTTTTACCTGATTTCATATTAAAATATGAATTCTAGCTCAGTTTGATTCTAAGATCAATATAGCAGCCTCTCAGCAGTGGTAGCTGTGTGCCCTTTAGATTAGAACTAGGAATTCATACTTACTATAAGGGCTTTAAAGAAAGAATATGCCTTTGTTTTCTGCACAAAGGCTAGAATGTAGTTAAATCAGTTTTGAAACTGTAGTATGTGTCAATTAAAAAAGAAAAAAGAAAAGTCTCTAAGAGTTGTTCTCTGAATCCAGGTTAACATGTGAGAACCATATTGTAGATGAGTTTAATTAGAAAGTTTTAGAATATGTGAACAAGAATCTGCTTGTTTGAATTGTAGAATTAGGAAGAATTCACTTGGTATATATTGACATTAGAAGGAGAAAGATTCTAAAAGAAAGTTAGTAAAAATATTAAAATCTTTGGGCCGAAACAAACTTGGTTCCAAGGAATAACAGAATAATGTTCAGAAAGAAGCTGCTTTGCCCTCCCTACTAGTTAGGAAAATTTCAGTAATGGAAATGCATAGGTCAAGCCAAATGGCACATTTAAAACTAGGTTTTTCATTTCCCCCTTAGATCTTGGAAGAAAGCTTCCCATCAAATTCCCTTTTGGTTTTGTCTTTTCTCTTCATTAGGCTGATTTTGTGAAAATTGCTCACCCTGAGCCAGCATTCAGAGAGGCAGCAGAAGAAGCTTGTAGAAGTATTGGCACCATGGTAGAAAAGTATGTTTTCTTCCCCCTTCGTTACAGTATTGGGTGATGTAGTTTTGTGGATTTGTGCTCTAGGAAATGTATAGGTGGGGCTTATTCCTCCCCAGCAGGGTGGGGGATAGTATGTGTGAATATTGCACAGCTGCCCAGGGTGATGGGCAATCGGGAGGACCCAGGGGGCAGGCAGCAGCTCTCATCTTCCTTGCACAAGCAGTGTGACTTTAGGCTAGTTATTTGTCATTTAGTTTCCTTGTCTGTAAATGGGGTAATAAAATGATTTGCCTCTGAGGGTTGTGATGAAAATAAAATAATACAAGTGCTCATAAAGGTGTCAGGAACATGGCAAACCTCCAATATCCTTATTATCATTGGTTATATTAAGTCAGTTTTTTTTTAGTATCTCAGTGGTAAGTTGGAGTTTAGACTGTCATGTAATTAAACTGTTGTTGTGTTGGTGGCTCTGGACCACAGGGCAAGAAGCCAACATTATCTCTACACAGTGGCCTTACAGTCCCTGTGGATTTGGAATTAGACACATCTAGAGAGATGATAAAACATTCTGGGAGGGCTGAGGCAGGCTGAGACTATGATGAAGTGACTTATTTAAAAGTTATTCTGAGGTAAATTTAAATATTGTAAGCCATCTCCTAGAGTTCCAAGCAGCTTGTTAAAATAACTTGGAGCGGGACAGTGCCATATTAAAAAACACTTAGGTGCATGATGCCATGCCAGAAAGCCAGAAAGCGTCTAAAGCTACTGAGAGCACTGTGCTCACCTGGCATGAATTCACAACCAAATAATCAGGGCCAGTCAGCACAGGAAGATTTTCACGAAGCAGAATCTGGATGAGGGGGAGGGCGAGTGTGGAGGTGACTTCTCCAGTTCAACAAGGCTTCCTGGAGGACCTGATGCTACAGGATGTGCTGCTGCTGCTTTCCCCACTGAGCATTGTGGGATCTCTTTGGGACAAGACATGTCATTTTTGTTATTGCCATTGAAAATCAAATTGTTGAATGGGATACATCTGGTCCCTGCAAATTCCAGACACTGAACATGAAGAAGGGGCTGAAATTGGGGTCTCCTTGGGAGAGAGTATAGCCTAGGGAAAGGCCCCAAGGTATGAGTCAGAGCCAAAGCCTGGGTTGCCTGCCTAAAGTGCCCTGATTCTGTCTGGTGTAATGGGCTCTTATTTGTCTGGGAGGACAACAGGGAGCCCTATTGGTTGTGAAGTGTTATCAAGAGTGTCTGTCCAAAGTATTCACTTCCACTGGACAAAGTTTCAGTCTTTTGTTATTCATAACATTCCTCTGCTGCCCTGAGACCAGCCCAGGAACCCAAAAGTAAAGTCACCAACCAACTCATAGCCTTCACTAGACCTTGATTTTTTTATTCTCACTGAGTGCTGTGGCTCATTTTCTCTTTTGGTCTACCTGAGTCATATCTTAACTAACTGCTTCAGTTAATCTGTGAAAAATACAATGATTTTAGGTGCATGTGTAGAATTGACTTATTTTTCAGTAGTGGAATAAAAGCCTATAAGTAGGTGTGTTTGTTTAGAATTAATGCCGGATATAGACTAAAGTATAGATATTATATGAGGATCTTATGACTTAAGACACATGTGGGAGATTTGCTCAAACTTCTGAAGAAGGTACAATGCAGGCTACCGCTAAACTGCTGCCGGTTTGACATGGACTAGCTCCTTAGGTGTGCAAGCTTAGAGGAGATGGACAACCAACCATGGTTTTCTCTTCCTGGTTTCCTGGGATGAGTGACTGGGGTGGGAGAGGAGGTGATGTGTCTGCCCTTGTTGAGTGTTTTTTGATTGGAGGTGACTAACTCAGTTCCCTTGGCGTTCAGGGTAGCACATGAGAATGGTGCAACAGAAATCCTTTGATTTATTAAAAACTGCAGGATTTTTATTGTGACCTGACTGGAGAACCTGACCATCCAAGAGTCTGTGAGTAGGAATTGGTATATGGTTTTTATAACCTGGCCCTTCCCTGAGGAACAATAGGCAAGGGACACATTGTGTCTAGAACCAGCTCACTATTTAGCAGAGTATTAGGGCTTCTTGGCATCCAGGGAAGGACTCAAGACCTGAAGGTGGTACTGTGGGGTTGGGTTGAGAGCAGTACTCAGGTAGGGGGCGGCCAGGGGCAGGCTGACAGGCTACCTAACAATATCTAGGGTTCATTAGTATGGGGAGTGTGTGCTGTACACACATTATCTCATTTAACCCTTAGGGTGACCTGAGGTCTCAGTAGCTGAAGGGTTCAAATAACTTGGCCAAGGTCATAGCATAGTACTAGGGCCTATGCTGCAGCCTGAGTGTGTGGCTCTGAAGCCTGTGGCTTTGAGTTCTCATAATGTGGGCCTGTCATTCTCATCCAGATGAGCAAAGGTAGCCAGTCCAGTGTCTAGAGTACTCAGTTCAGAACTACAAAAGTTTTGTGTTTGTTCATGCTCCCTTCCATTCTTACTCCTCTCCTGACTCCAGAACAAATGGCTGTTGCATATTGCTAATGGACTGGTTCTCAATGGCAGTGGGGCCTAATCACCGGTAACCACATTTCTTCCCTCCCCTCTTTCTTCTCTGCTCTCCGGGCTCCAGCTGCTGACTGACTTGAAATTTATCCTTTTACCGTCCAAAACAGTTTGTATTTTAACACTTCGCCCAACTGACTGCTTGTCAATACATTAAATATGGTTATGCTATTACTAGTCCAGATGAAGAAACAAAACAATCTTAAATCTTTTGGCCTCTGACATTAGAATCTGACATCCTTCTCTTGATGTAAAATAAAAAGTAGGTATTAGATAATCATTTAATTTTTTTATTTGTAATTTTTATAGGTTGAACACAAATGTGGAATTATATCAAAGCCTGCAAAAATTACTAGCTGATAAAAAACTCGTGGATTCCCTTGATCCAGAAACCAGGTACTCATGTCCCTTGCATTTATTATGATTGTGACTGTAGAGGCTAGACTAGAAGACTCCTCCTGGGTATCTCTCTACTCACACCCCCTGGTGTCTGGAGTGTTTCTCCACAGGTATCGCTACATGATTCCTGCACTTTCTTTAGGACTCTACTCAAATGGTATCTCCTCTAAGAACTTTATATGAGATCATATGCTTAATCCTCTTTGTTTTTCTTCTTAGTCCTAATCACTTCCAATATTAACTTATTTGTTAATTTGTTTATCTTTTTCTACCTCACTATTCTGGAAGTTCCTTGAGAATAGGAATCTGGTTTGTTTTGTTCACTGCTGCATCCTTGGCACCTACAACACTCATGCGCTATAGTATGTGTCTAAAGAATTAATGAATACCTATAAACTATTGATAATTACATTTAGCTTCATGCTTAAAGTTCCATAATTGATATCACCAGAAGATATTAACAAATTGATTTTATTTACTGGGTGGATGTCAAAATCCTTGCAATGATTTGCTGTGGTTCACTAGATTATATTTGTTAATCTGAATTGAAAAGGCCTAATTTCTAAGTGAATACATAAAAATATTTGATATTGGACTTTGGATATCATATTTCTTTGCTCAAATTTATTTACTATAAAATAGGTATTGTAGGGTTTGTCATTAACCCACCTAGGTATTTTTTGTGTCATAGCACAGATATTAACATTTTTTCTTACCTGTTTGTACTTATCTACTTTTTGTTTATGGGACACTTTCTTCCTTTGACTCCTTGATTTTTCCCTCCTCCTGCTTCCTTCTCTTCTTTCTGTCTCCACATGTGGCTTGTGACTTAAAGTGAAGCCCTACCCAACAGGGATCAGTTGATAATGGGAACTTGTGTTAATTTGGTATGTGAGTAGCATGATGTATGAATAGCATAATAAGGCTGTGTTGAGGGATGCTTTTACCTGATTGTCTGGTATGCAGATGTTTATTTGGTCCTGCTGCACATTGATCCTATGCTCAGTATACTAGTAAAGCTAGCTATACCATCAGAATAGTTTGTCTTTATTATAACTATATTGTATTTAGCATTATATTGCCTTACTAGCAAAACAAGTAAAAGTTAAATGACTGCTAATTTTGCCAGATTTATTCTCAGCTGGTACTGACAACAGCAGATTATTCATAATATGACTTTAAATTTCTTCTAAAAATCATTTATTGATTTTAGAGACATGGGAAGGGAGGGAGGGAGGGAATGAGAGAGACAGAGCGAGAGACAGAGAGAGAGACAGAGAGAGAGAGAGAGAGAGAGAGAGAGAGAAAGAGAGAGAGAGAAATAGAAGTTTGTTGTTCCATTTATTTATGCATTCACTGATTGATTCTTGTATGTGCCCTGACCAGGGATTCCACAACCTTGGTGTATTGTGGTGACACTCTAACCAACTGAGCTACTCAGGCAGGTCCATTATTTAACTTTAATAAAAATTGACTTTTCCATATTTAGTGATTAAAAGTTGTGACTAGCATACCATTTTAGATACAAAATATTTGTGTTAATAGGATACATACCACATTTCTGGATGTTACTAAAAATTCCAATAGGATCTTTTAACCAAAACAGCCTGGTACCGGCACAAGAATAGGCCTAGAGATCAATGGAACAGAACAGAGACCCCAGAAAGTGACTGACATCATCCTGGTCAACTAATATTTGACAAAGGAGTTAAGAACATACAATGAGGTAAAGACAGTCTCAAATGGTATTGGGAAAATTGGGCAGGTACTTGGAAAAAAGTGAAGCTAGATCACCAACTTAACCATATACAAGAATAAACTCAAAACTTAGAAGAAAACATAGGCAGGAAAATCTCAGACATATCACGTAGCAGAATTTTCACTGATACATCTCTTAGGGCAAGAGAAACAAAGGAGAAAATAAACACATGGAACTAAAAAGCTTTTGCAACAGCAAAAGAAACCATCATCAAAATGAAAAAGGAACCCACTGAATGGGAGAACATATTTGCCAATGACACCTCTGAAAGGGGGTTAATTTCCAAAATATATAAAGAATTCATATAGCTCAGCAAAAGGATGACAAGTAACCCAATTAAAAAATGGGCACAGGACCTGAATAAGCACTTCTCCAAAGAGGACATACAGATGGCCAATAGACATATGAAAAAATGCTCAACATCACTAATCACCAGAGAGATGCAAATTAAAACTACAATGAGGTATCACTTCACATGTGCCAGAATGGCTACCATCAATAAATCAACAAACATTAAGTGCTGGCAAGGATGTGGAAAAAAGGGAATGCTAGTACATTTCTGGTGGGAATGCAGATTGGTGCAGCCACTATGAAAAACAATATGGAATTTACCAAAAAAAAAATAAAATGAAACTAATGTTTGACTAATGCCCCACCTCTAGGAATATATCCTAAAAACAACAAAACACCAATCAGAAAGAATATATGCCCCCCCACCCCTCCCCCCCCCATGTTCACAGCAGCGTTTATAATAGCTAACTAAGATCTGGAAACATCCCAAGTGCTGTCAGTAGATGAGTGGATAAAAACGATGTGGTACGTTGGCATACACAATGGAATACTATGCAACCATAAAAAAGGGTTTCTTATCTTTTGTGACAGTATGGATTGCTCTGGAGAATATTATGCTGAGTAAAATAAGCCAGTCAAAGAAAGACAAATATCAAATGATCTCATTTATAAGTGGAATCTAATGAATGAAATAAACTGATTAACAAAATATGTCCAGAGGCATGGAGTCATGGAACAGACTGACATATATCAGGGGAGGCGTGGGGGGAAACAAGAAGAGATTAACCAAAGAACTTATATACATATAAGTTCGTGCAATAGTCCTTCCCTTCCCTTGGCTGCTGGCACCAGTTTGCCTCTGGCACCCGGGACCCAGGTCTTCGCTCTGGCCGGGCTCTGGCTGGAACAGGCCCTGGGGTCGTCCAGCTTCGCTCCGGATCACACACGGGAGGGCTGATGGCGGCCGGGTGGGCGACGGATCGCTGCTGTCCCACCCAGCCGCCCCGGGTCACACACGGGAGGGCCGGATGGCGGCGGGTCGGGTGGTGGATTGTGCTGTCCCGCCCCACTGCCCCGGGTCGCAGATGGCAGGCCCAGATGGCGGCGGGGCAGGCAGCGGATGGCGCTGTCCCACCCTGCCTGCAGTATGCAAATTTAACGGCCATCTTTGTTTGGTTAATTTGCATACTCTTCTGATTGGCTGATGGGCATAGTGAAGGTATGGTCAATTAGCATCTTTGTCTTTTATTAGTGTAGATTAGAGGCCCGGTGCACAAATTCATGCACCAGTGGGGTCCCTTGGCCTGGATGGCAGGATCAAGCTGATACTGGCTCTCCGACATCCGCTGAGGGGTCCTGGATTGCAAGAGGGTACAGGCCAGGCCAAAGGACCCCACTGGTGCATGATCAGGGCTAGGGAGGGACAAGGGAGGTTGGCCAACCAGGGAGAGATCTCAGGAGAGCTCCAGAGTGTGTCTGGCGCATCTCACTCAGTCCTGATCAGCTGGACCCCAGCAGCAAGCTAACCTACCAGTCAGAGCGTCTGCTCCCTGGAGGTCAGTACACGTCATAGCAAGTGGTTGAGCAGCCTTAGCATATCATTAGCATATTATGCTTTGATTGGTTGAAGGAACGACTGGACACTTAGCATATTAGGCTTTTATTATATAGGATTAGAGGCCTGGTGCACAAAATTCGTGCACTGGGGGGGTGTCCCTCAGCCCAGCCGCACCCTCTCCAATCTGGGACCCCTCGGGGGATGTCCGACTGCCGGTTTAGGCCTGATTGCTGTGGGATTGGGCCTACACTAGCCTTTGGACATCTCTCTCACAATCCAGGACTGCTGGCTCCCAACCGCTCGCCTGCCTCCCTGACACCCCTAACCACTTCTGCCTGCCAGCCTGATCACCCCCTAACCACTCCCCTGCCAGCCTGATTGACGCCTGACTGCTCCCCTGCCGGCCATCTTGTGACCACATGGGGGTGGCCATCTTGTGCAAGGGCGTGGCAGTCAATTTACATATTACTTCTTTATTATATAGGATGTGCATGACCAATGGACATAAACAAAAGTGTCGTGAAGGCCTGGGGTGGGGCAGGGAGTGGGAGAAGGGGGTAATGGGGGGACATCTATAATACTGTCAATAATAATTTTAAAAATTCCAGTAGGGTTTTTTAAATAACAAAATGATAACTGTATTAGGAAAAATAAACTGGGTAGGATATTGCTGTTTTTGAAAGAAAAGATAACTTGTAAGTGGGAGGAAACAATAATTTGAATAATTACTAAAACTTAGAGCACTTGTACATCCTCAAAAGTATTGGCTAGCACTTAGAAGGAACCTTTTATATAGTAAAGTCTAAGGCAATGGCTAAACAAAGAATTATAGATTTAATAAAATATCTTGTCATAGCAAGTTACTGTATAGAAGAAATAATTTAAATTGAGTAGGTCACCATCTTATTCTTAGATGTATTCCTTGAAATACTAGTATTATTCAAAAGTATTTCCAGAAAAGTCCCATTGATCAGTAAATTTGGAAATCTGACATACTGTATCTTCCTTCTTGGAGAAGTCTACCCAAAGAAACCTATTTTACTAGGGGTTTTCCAAAACCATGAAGATCTTTGTTGTATGTAAAGACTATAACAAATGCAAATGGAGGGAAGATAACATTCACAAGAGCAACAGAAGTTGCAATGCACCTTGGAATACTCAGGAAAGCAGAGTACAGAGCCTCAACACGCACACATACCTGGGAAACATGAAAGATGATCGAGAAATTCACTATATTTTTAGATAAGAAGAAAGCAAACTCAAAAATGTTCTCTACTGGTCTGTAAGTTTAATGCTATTCAATTTCTATCAAAGGGAGGTGTTTTTGTTGCTACTTAAAATGATTTTGAAGTCATAGATCATAAATATGACAGAATAGGCAGAAAAAAA